TCTGTCTCTTGATTAATATGGCTTAGTCAAGCTTACTTTTCTTTCAGCTTTCTGATCACACCTGTGCACATATTGCCTATATCTGAACAATTTTAAAATATTGGTAAGAGACACTGTTCAGTTTTTAAATGTTAAGAGATACCGTTATCTCTTATCAACATTTTAAAACTGAACAGTGTCTCTTTTACCAGCACAGTTCCATATACTTGAAATGCAATGTCTCCACCCCAATGTCATTTCTTCTGACCAATCACTATTCACCCTTCAGGTCTCAGGTTAACATTGCTTTCTTTAGTGTTACTTAAAACAAGATTAGGAACCTCAACTGCCATAGTACCTCCATAATACTTATCATAATTATAATTGAATAATTATGATTAGGGTATTATTAGCATCTCTCATTAGACAGTAAGCTCTTTGAGGAACTTCCAACATCAGGCTTGAGTGAGCTGACATGGACAATCTCCACCAACTGTAAACTACAGAATGGCTGGATTACATTTTAAATATCTATTCAAACTCAAAAAAAAAGGGAAGTAGAAATCCGTGAGCATACAGAAAAATGAGATGTTAAAGAGAAAAAAAAATCAGAGCATTAAGTAAGAGTTAACCCCTCCAGGAAGAAGTAAAGTGATGACAACAAAAGCATAAAGCCTTGGAGGAAAGACCTGGACCAACACTGTTAGACAGTCGTCATTGTATGCATGAGTCGGTGTAATATCACTAGAAGGTAGACTATGAGTTCCATAAGTTAAGAATGTGTATATAAATCCTTAAGCAATCACTTAAAAAAACAGAGTTGCAACTTTAACATGCTTCTTTATGCCAATAAATTCTAAAGCTTAGATAAAATAAACATTTTTTTTTTGAGACAAGGTATCATTCTCTTGTCCAGACTGGAGTGCAGTGGTGCAATCTTGGCTCACTGCTCGACCTCCCAGACTCAAGCAATCCTCCCACCTCAGCCTCCCCAGTGGCTAGAACTATAGGCACATGCCACCATGCCCAGCTAATTTTTGTATCTTTTGTAGAGATGGGTTTTTGCCATGTTTCCCAGGCAGGTCTCAAACTCCTGGGCTCAAACAATCTGCCTGTCTCAGCCTCTCAAAATGTTTGGATTACAAGCACAAGCCACCATACTTGGCTAAATGAATATGTCTTGAGAAACATAAGCTACCAAAGCTCATTGAAGAAAAAAATTGATCATTTGAATAGCCCTATATCTATGATAGAATGTGAATGTGTTTTTAAAAACCTTCCTACAATAAAAACTACAAGCCCTAAATCCTTCACTGGTGAATTATTCTGTGTATTTGAGTAGGAAATAATAAAAGTTCTACATAAACTCTTCCAGAAAATTAAAGAGGACAGAATACTTTCCATTTTAATTTATCAGTATTAGCCTGATTACAAAACCAGGCAAAGACATCATGGAGAACATGATTATCTATGTAGAAAATCCAAATGAAGCTTTAAAAAGGTATCAAAACTAATAATTGAGCTTTTATAAGGTTGTAGGATATAAGATCAGTCTGCAAAATCAATTGTATTTCTATATAGCGATGATACAGCAGTCTCTTAAAATATTAAACACACATGCCATATAACTCAGACTTTCCACTTCTGGGTATTTGCTCAAGAGAAATGTAATCATATAACTCTACAAAGACTTCTACTTGAAGGTATATAGCAGTTTTATTTGTAACAGCCAAATACTGGAAACAATCTAGAGGCTCATTAATAGGTGAATGGGTAAGCAAATCATGGTACATCCATATGATGGAAGACTACTCAGCAATAAAAAGTAATAAGTTATTATTAACCTAAAAAATGTGAATTTCAAAATCACTTTACTGAAAGAAGCCACCAAAAAGAATACACATTGTATTTTTATAATTCTATTTATATTGAAATCTAGAAGATGGAAAGCATTCTATAATTACAGAAAGCGGATCAAAAAGCAGATTACCTAGGGATCAAGTGGAGAGAAGTAAGGGCAAGAGTGAAGATTTACAAAGGGTAGAAGGAAATTTTTGGAATTTGCAACAAATAATGTCTACTATCTTGAGGTGACAGTTTAATGGATATATACCTTCACCAGTTTTATCAGAACGAATATTTTATATGTATATAGTTTATTATTGGTTAAATAATAATTGGTTATTATTGAATTAAACTTCAATAAGGCTATAAAAATAAAGGAATGGAAATGACAATTTTTTAAAGTTAGTAAATTGATAAAAGTTATTACTGCTAAAAGTTATTTTTTCAAAGTTAGTCAATAAATACATTGCTTGTTATTTTCTATATTTCTCAAAGCATGCCTGTACTCTCTTAATGTGATATTATGTCTGTTATTCAGCTTCATAAATATAAGGATTCCAAGAAACAGACCACTGGGATACGCACTTGGGTTGCATGATCTTGGGATTGTCCAGGAGAGGCAATGAGGCAGTACAGGGTAATGCTTACACAGGCTTAGGAGTTGGAACTCCTGAGAATGAATTCCAGCTCTTTCATTGATTAGTGGAATGGTCTCGAGTCAGCTGCTTAACCTCTGATTATCTTAGTAGCCTTACCTAAAATGCTATTGTCCTTAAGTGTTGCCATTATTTAATGATGTAATTCACTGAGAAGGCATAGTAAGGTATCTGGCACATAGCAGGCATTCAAGGAATGGCAGTTTCTATTATTTCTGTACCTCTATGTCTTTCCCAGGACATGCTGACAGTTTATGAGAACAAGTGTCTGATCACTTGGTGAGAAGTAAGTGCTAACTTGCCCAGGACTGATCCCTTTTATTCACGTCTCCCAGAAAAAGAAGTTAGCTCCTGCAAATTTCATGGATGCTAACTATGACTTAGTACTTCAGACAATCAATCCCGGCCAACCCAAACACAAATTCCCACACACAATGTGTCAAGGGAAGGGCTGGTATCAAGGAAGCTGATGTAAGTCTTTCTCCCAGATTGACCTGACAAATAGATTCAACTCCATGGCTCAGAACTCAGCTTTCTGACCACACACGGGAGAGGCTAGTTCTCCATCTAACACTATCACCAATCTGGCAAGACAGGACTGAAGTTGAGGTTCTGCCATGATATATTACCATGACATACACACCACTGATTGTCAAAGGAGAGCCCAATGCCTCCCTAACCATGTGATTTTTAAGCCTCAAAGCCCACAACCAGACCCCTGGCCCTGCTAGATCTCTATGTGCCTCGCTGGGATGCAATGGAGAGTGATGAACGGGCACAATGCTACTGCCCTAGCCTCAGAAAGTTTCCCCCAGTGAACACTGCCCTAACAGGCTTGTGTGAACACTGCCTAGCCATTTGCCCTTGTCTATGTGACAATCCACCAACCAGACCTAAGACACAGACGTTGAACTATATAGATGCTACTCCTACTGGCTCTTACCTACCTTCCCTGACACACTTCAGGCAATCACAACCCTGGATATCTCTTCAGGGATCAGCGCTGATGTCTTCTCTGTTCTGCCTTAGACACAAACAAGTCTTGGCTCACTTTGCTCTCATTGGTTCTGTAGCTGCCCAGTCTGTCCTACGTCCTCGACTCCCTTTCCCTGGCTAATTACATTGGTAACTTTATACTACAACTAAGGTCTTATTTGATATTTAGCAAGGAAATTAAGGCATTCCTCATTCATTGGGGAAGTTGGAAAGTAGAAATCAGTTGGATTGTCTACTGCATAATCACAATACAGCTATTTGAGGCAACTCCCGTGAAAAGCAGGAAAACATCTATGAACCTCAACTTGCCAGACTTTAAGTACCCAACATAGCACAATAGTGAACCAGTTAATGAGTGATCAATAAGTATAAGGTGGTGTTTGAACAATTTATATAGAAAATTGTCAGGAATGCAAGGTTCATGACATTGCTCTGGGCAGCAATTTCTTGAATGTGACACCAAAAGCATAGGAAACAAAAGCAAAAATAGACAAAGGGGATTGCATCAAATTAAAAACTTTCTGCACAGCAAAGGAAACAACAGAGGGAAGAAACAATCCAGAAACAAGAGAAAGTACTTACAAATCAAACATCAGATAAGGCACTAATATCTAAAATACTCAAGGAACTCAAACTACTCAATAACAAGAAAACAAATCACCTTATTTAAAAATGGTCAAAGGACCTGACAGATAGTTTTCAAAAGAAGACACATAAATGGGCTTTATGTGTCTTAAATGGCCTTTATAGACAGATAAAATGTTCAGCATCTCTAATCACCAGGGAAATGCAAATTAAAACTACAATGAGACATCGCCTTATACCTGTTAGATTGGCTATCATAACACAAAAGAAACAAGTGTTGGTAAAATGTGGGGGAAAGGGACCTCTCATCCACTGTTGGTGGTGTTGTCAATTAATAGAGTAATTTTGGAAAATGATATGGAAGTTCCCCCTAATAATCTAAAAATAGAATTACCATATGATCCAGCAATCCCACCTCTGGATAGATATCCAAAGGAATTGAAGTCAGTATGCTGAAGAGATGTCTGCACCACCCTGTTCACTGCAGCATTATTCACAGTACCCAAGATACGAAAAAAAACAAAATGCCCATCAATGGATTAATGGATTTTTTTAATGTGGTATAAATACACAACAGAATACTATTTGGCCTTTTAAAAGCAGGAAATTTGTAACAATACAGATGAACCTAGTGGACATTATGCTAAGGGAAATAAACCAGGCACAGAAAAACAAATACCATGTGATCTCATTATATGTTGAATCTAAATAATATCAATTCATATAAGTAGAAAATAGAATGATGCTTACCAGAGGCTGAGGGAGTGGGATAAGAAAGGGGAGATGTTGGTCAAAGGACACAAAGTTTCATTTACACAGGCACAGAGAAATAGGTTCTGGTGATCTACTGCATAGCACAGAGGCTATAGTTAATAATAATATATTTTATATTTCAAAATAAATAGAAGAGAGAATTTTCAATGTTCTTACCTAAAAGAAATGATAAATACTTGAGGTGAGAAATACGTTAATTAACCTGACTTGATTACCGCACAATGCATACATATATCAAAATATCACACTGTAACCATTAAATATAAACAATTACTATTTGTCAACTAAAAATAAAATAAAACATTTAAAAAAGAAATAGGAATTTCAAAAATGCAAGGTTCATGTTTGCAGCAACCTGGGTGATTCAAATAACAGGCTAATCAGTCACGTTGTTTAACCCTGGGTGGTACACATTGGGTTGTTTTTTTTTAACTAAGAGGTCAAATGCATATAGCAGATTGGTGCCTTTTGAATGCAGGAATATAAAAACACCAAACGTCATTACACAGACATGAGTTTAATTCCTCTGCTTTCTACCTCCATCTTCGGTTCCTTCAACAAATATGTATCATGCACTGGGCTAAAGTACCCATAAAAATGGGGTGGAAATTTTGGGGTACTGTTTAAATCTTTGATACTTCCATATAAGAAACAATAAGCAATATCTGTATTACCACAAGAGAAACTCGATCTGGAAACATTGACTTCAGGGAAAGATTTTGCATAAGTCATGTCCAGTGGGGTTTCATTAGTGATGTAGTGGAAGTTGTTCAAGGTGGAGGGGTCTCTCCCTGAGGCAGCTTGGTGCCACAGACCCCAAAGGCAGAGTTACAGCAGAGCTCTGCTGCAGAACTGCCTAGAAGGTCATTTCTCTGCCCACTCGAACCTGTGTGCAAAGAAACCCGGTGGCTATTTTTTCAGCTTGAACAAACCTTTGACCTGATGGCAGAGGAGTTCTTTCTGTAAATCTTTACGCCCAAACAAAATTCACCTGTTGACTTGCAGAGAAACAAATATTTTTTTAAGTGCTTAAAAAAATTAACTAATTCATATCATGAGAAAAATCCCACCTTAATTCCTCTGAGGGCTCATCTATTCCTCAATCCATTCTATGCTCCTTATTAATTATCAAAAATTCTTTATGCACTGGTTATTTAAATAGTCTGCTAAGTTCTTATGGAAACAAGCAAACACATTTTTTAAAACTTGCCAAAATCTGTTGTTCCCTTTCCCTCAGAAGCACAGAAAGTGAGTTCTTGTGGTTTCTTAGATGGATGACAGATTTCTATCTAATTAATCCAGAGCCCTGTGTATAGAAATGACTGCAAAGCAAACATGTCTATTAACAAAAAGCAGTGATCACTGGTTGGCACTGGGCCAGCAACTCTACATAAGCAATGAACTGATGCGTACAACTGTCTCTGCGCCATATGGGTTCTGCTGTAGCAGTGAATTTGATCCAATGTAAGGTTAAGAGATGTCAAATTTAACTGGGTTTAATTGATACTGGTAAGAGGTTCTAAATAAAGAAACAGTGTGTGCACCATCAGAAACAGGCAACACGTAAGGCTCTATCCTCCCAGTTTGTCACTGAGTTTCAACTCAGTTACAGCCAGACATTCAAATTAGTTTTCAAATTCAACTTTCTCACATACGATTTTTCATGGAAGTTGGGTTCACAGGTTTCTCAGCAGCTAATTGGGGCTGAATATTATGTCATAATATAATTACATCTGCAGTTATTTCTCTCTTACTACCAAGTTCTTGTTTACACAAACCAGGTAGAAAACTCAAATTCATCATCCCCATTATGAACTCGCTATTCTCTCCAAACTCACGCTTCAATATGTGTCTGCCATTCAGATAACGGCCCTTAATGACAAAAGAGAAAGGTCTTAAAGTCCTCTTGACTCCTCTACCTTCCACTAACCCCCATAAATTCAACTTCACACGTGCCTGACAGGAGTCCATTTCTCCCCACTACCAACTGTCACAACCGCCATCATGTCTCCCCTGAATTGTAACAGCTTCCTAGTGGAATGCCCACCTACTTAACCATTCCTCCCAACTGCTAGACACTTCCCTGTTTAAAACCCCCAATATTTGTTCTGTATCTCCTAAGATAGAAGTCAGACTTCAGGGAGTCCCCTTTGCTATACCTGCTCCTGCCCACTTACTGTCAACCTCCAGCATCCCCTTGATCCAGACACCCTGGCTTCTCATCCTACCCTAATCATGTAAGTGCAAACATTTTTGTGCTATTGCCTCTGCTTAAAACACCACCCTTAAGTTCTTCCTGAAAATTAAGAGAGGAAAAGCTCAAATCTTACTTTTCTGAGAAGCCTTTTCCACCCCCAAGCAGAACTCACCACCCTTTTCTGTACTCCCACAGCTCGTTGTTCATAACTTTATTATAGCACTGATGTGATGCATTAGAGCTGCATTTATTCTAACTATCCATCTCGATTATGAGTCCCTATGACTCCTATCCATCTCAGTTATGGAAAATCAAGCCGTTTATCTTGATACAGCTGAGTTCCCCACAGTGTTGGGCTTGACTCTGTGATGGCGGAGTGAGGAATACACAGAAGGGCACATCCAAGCCATGTGGATAGGCTGATTGAACCCACATTAACAACACTGCTTCACTTGCAACATGACAGGAGATACCTCCTCTACGTCAAGGAGATGGACTCCATTTCCACCAGGTGCGTCTTACCGATTAACACTGACAACCACAAATGTGTACTGAGCACTACATTTTGCTCAGCACTTTAGAATCATTACTTCATTTATTATTCATGAGTGTCCTATAGGGTGAGGATTTCTCTCCACTGTTTTGTTCTTTTGTCTAGGACCTGGCACATGTAAATATTGTTAATGAATAAACAAGCTATATAGTATATTATTACCTTCACTTTACTGAGAAAGAAACTGAGATGCAGAGATGTCAACTTACCTAAGTGCTGTGGACTGAATTCCATCACCCAAAGATTCACATGTTGAAGCATTAACCCTTAATGCCACTGTATTTGGAGATGGAGTTTTTAGGAGGAAATTAAGGTTAAATGAGTCCTAATGGTCTGATAAGTTTGGTGATCTTATGAGAGATGAAGAGAGAGATATATCTGTCTCCACTTGCATACACCAAGGACAGGTCACGTGAAAACACAGCAATAAAGCAGCCAATCGCAAGCCAGGCAGAACACCGAACCAGAACCTGACCAAGCTGGCCTCCTGATCTCAGGCTTGCAGCACCCAGAAGAGCAAGAAAATAAATTTGTTGTTTAAGCGATCTAGACAACCCAAGATGATTTAGACACTAGTTATTTAGAAAAATTTGGAAATAGGAAACTCAAGATTTTAACCTAGATTAACAGATTTCAGAAGCTTTATCCAGTCATTATGGAGTATTTCTCAAAGTATGTGTTGTGACCCACTAGTAGGCCTGAATGCAGTCTACTGGGTTACAATCAGCACTTTTTTCAGGAAATTGAAAAGGCAGGTATAGAATATAATTGAACAGAATAGAAAATATCAGAGTGTGTCACTTTTTCAAGTAATATAAATAATCTTTAAAAAGCATAAGTCATCCTTTTTTTTTTGAGATGGAGTCTTGCTCTGTCACCCAAGCTGGAGTGCAGTGGTGCAATCCCGGCTCACTCAACCTCTGCCTCCCAGGTTCAAGTGATTCTCCTGCCTCAGCCTCCCAAGTAGCTGGGATTACAGGTGTGTGCTACCAATGCCTAATTTTTGTATTTTTAGTAGAAACAGGGTTTCACCATGTTGGCCAGGCTGGTCTTGAACTCCTGACTTCAGGTGACCCACCCACCTCGGCCTCCCAAGCTGCTGGCATTATGGGCATTAGCCACCTCACCCAGCCCATACATCACTTTCAAAGTAAGACTTTAAAAACATAAGCATTACTTTATAAAACTTTTGTCCCAGAAATGTGGAGGAGAGGTGTGGAGGGCACAGGCACCACAAAGTGGTATGTATCTCTTATTGTGAGTTTCAGTCAAACATATTTTTATAAACACTGTTGTTTTGCCATACTGTCTCACAAATAGCCCACTCATTCTATCTCTAGCCAGACCCCTTCTGATATAAGAAATGTCACAAACCCACAGGTGAGTCCTGATTTTCATAGTGCTTACACAATTTCCCCCTTGGTTATAGCTCATCCCAGCAAAACATGGCTTGACATTTAATCTCTATACATCAAACATATATGTTTCCTTACTTATTTTGTGCCCATGCTTTTTTCTTGCAGCAGTAGAAGCTGACCACAGCTTGACTGTCCATCCTTATTCCCTGTTTCCTGTAATCCTTAACTCAGTCTGCAACCCAGCAGCACTCTTCTAAGGGCTTATCCATTATAAGTACACACTAAATGTATGTGAAATAATTGAACTAATTGATCCAATCAAGTAGATTATATCCATCTGAGAGCTTTTGTTCAGTCCCAAAAGAGCCCAGACTCAGTCACAGAGAAATGAAGCAGGCATTAGCTCTGATTCTGGAAAACTTGGGTTTTTAATCCTAGAATCAAAACATCAGTAGGTTTTTCTTAATGCTGAGACAATGTAAACAACTATAATTTTCTTTCTGGCTCAGTCTTTATCTCTACATGGTAGTCAGGTTCGTTGTGGTGGGGGACAGTGTGGTATACTCACCCAAGTGATATAGGCACAAGTGACAGTCACCTCAAGGACATATCTGGGTACGGGCCATTTGAGTAGTTGTCACCACTAAGACAATCTTGTCTGGGTCCTGAGTGGTGAGGCCAGACATTCTGCAGAAGGGCAGGCTTATGGGGTGTTGGTCAGCACCACGGACAGTTCCAAGTGCCCCCTGACTGACTTCAGAATAGCAGGAATCCCTCTGATGTGGTGTTAGACCCAGCATACTTGGCTTATTGCCTCTCCAATGTACACCACTCCAAACAGGTGTCTCAGACTGCAATGGGATTTTCAGTGTCAGAGACCATGTGGTTCTAGGCCCAGGAGTGCCTTCTTCCAAGGTACGGAGACACTGCTTCCTCCTCTGGGAGTGGATGGGCCCCTCCTATGAGGGAAGGGAAGGAGAAGAGGTAGGTACAGCTCTCCCTCACCCCTTTATTTAACATCATCTTTTTCCAATATCCTATACCTTCTGTGACCCAGATCATAACCTAACACAGGCAGGAGTTAGGGGAGAGAGTGTCTGGCCTATCTGTAAAGTATATTTATTGATTTTCTGATTGCCCAGCATCTACTCCAACTTAATTTAGTAATATATCCCAATTTTTGATGAGCTACTTCTCCCCTCACAGTATGCTATGTCTATCAATCAAGATGGTCCATCATCCCTGGGCAACATGGCAGACATGTGATTCATCTTGGACAATCAGATCCTCCCTTCTTAGAATTAGAACCTAAGAATAATAGTAAAATAGTTACAGTTTCCTTATTGCTAGAAAATTCTTGAGCCTGACAAGACAGTTGACTAGTTCCTTCTATTAACACCCTCTGAGGCTTCATGTTTCCTGTTTTTTTCAAATCTGGTTCTTTAATCTTATAAGCAAACTCCCCATTTTTCTACAGACATTTCTTTTGCCTAAATTAGCCAGCATTAGTTTCTATTACTTGTAACCAAAAATTACTAACAGTTTCATCTACTAAGGATAAAGGTTATGCCTGGAGTCTTCAGATGGAAGGCAGAGAGGATAGTAAACTTAAAACTGGCAGTTAAGCACAACTAAGAGACTATGAGCCAAGACTCTATGTGAAATTTATTTCTAAATCCTTACACATCTTAGCATATGTTTCATCCATAGTTGGTATTCAAAATTTACCTGGCAAGGTAAGGCATATATAAAAATTTATAAAGTGAATATGACTAACAGAGAGATGGATGTTAGTTAAACATCACTGTGAATAGTACATATTTTGGAGGTAAGAAACAGCTCTCAAAGAAGTTACCATTACCTCTTCACCTCTTTCTCTCCCTCTTCATATCCCTCTCACTTTTAACAATAAATACAAATTTCAAAGCCTCATCTTAGCCCTCTCATTTGTTAGGGCATCTGTTATACCATGGAGTAAAGCACTGGGGCAATGTAAAATAAAATTCATGTAAAATAAAGGCTTTTTCAAAGAATTCCTAAATTTTGATCCTTTCTGATATTCCCCTGACTCCAGTTAATAAAAATAGCAACAGTTAATAAAACATTCTATCCACTCCTTTTCAATGCTGCCTATTATTCTTGAATGCTCAAAAGCCCCAGGCTCCCAGCCGGGTCAAAAGGTTTCACAAAACATCCACGAATTATTTCGAAGCAGTGAGACTCCCACAGCATGTCTCCCCGGAAGCTGTAAGGCAAGAAAATCCAACCTCTCTTTCTGATCGAAAGTCAGAATTCACTGGAGGAGATATAAAGAAACCACCAGATAAAGGTTTATTCTTATTTTGTACCTTCAGTCTGTAATCCCAGGTACATCCCTCACCTAAGTAGAAGCATTCCTTCCCAGGAGAAGAATCCCAGTGCACTGTCTATGACAATGTATTTTCAAAATTTTGTATAATAACTACAAATTCTATTTTTAAAAAGCAATTCCACTATTCACTATGCTGGAGGGCACTAGTAGTTTTCTCCCCCAAACACTGAGGGGAGAAAATTCTCCTACCTTAGCCCTTTGGTATTTTCTCTTTCAATCAGACTTTAGCAGCTTCAAGTTGAGCCTGCTAAAAGGAGCCTATGTTCACTCGCCTGTCAAACCAAACCTTTCTGCACAGCCCTTTGGCTTTGCTGGATGTTGCTATAAGACCCAGTCCTTAAAAGCAACACAGTATTTCCAGCCTGAGCCGTCCACAGTTTGATTCCTCATCCAAAACGTAGTATACTACAAGAGACATACCATGGTTAAAAGATTAACGATAGCCATAGGGTCCACTCATACATCTCACAGGGCCTATCCTATGTGTCATTTTGCAGTATGATGTAACCTAGCCTGGGGAGTTCCAACTCTGGCCCAAAGATTACCCAGTCTCTATGACAACAGGTTGCCCTGAGACAAGACCACCTCAGTACAGTTGCAACTTTCATGAACCTTAAAGCAAAGCTTACCCTTGCAAGAAGCTTAAACTCCCTTTATGAAATAAATACCTGGTAACCGGCCCAGACAGAATACAGGTATAAAAAAGGGGGAAAGGCCCCCAAACTCTGAAAATGGTACCCAGAGGAAAACCTCCCCTTCAGGGGGTCATCTGATCCATGCCACAATAAGAGCACTACTAGAAGAAACTGCCTGAACACCAGATGGTACCTGACTCTTATCTTTGATGCAAATCAGACCAAACAGGGAAAAGTCACCCCTCGGGAAGCTGGTTAACCAGGCCCACCTGACAGCCCCAAACACCACATGAAACTGATTCTTTGTGTGTGAATCATGACTTTAGAGTGATAACCTTAAACACCAAACTCCTGTAGCTGCTAATACACATAATTCCTCCCTGGTTTAGTCCTGACCCACTGGAAGAGTGGGCAATAGATTCCTCACTGACATTGCCAACAGCAAAAAGGCTATGAAACTCAAAAGAGGACAAGTTACAGGGAAGAACAACAGAGCTGTAGAAACCACTCTGCTGTGATAGTTTCATTTTAAAATCAAATGAAGCTATTTAGCAAATAGAATCCACACTCTCCCATGAACCCAAAACACTAAATAACTAGTAAATGTTTTTATTTCTCTGGCTATAATGCCTTCAATACGTTTGTGATAGTTTTGCCAGATCAAGTATTCAGAATCTATTTGCTTTATGGATTTTTTAGTGAAAGTGTTCTTTATCCTGGTCTGAAGAATGCTAAAATTGGGGGAAATGGTGGAATACTTTTCTTCTTTGCTTCTAACACCTAATCTTTGTACATAACAATTTTTTAAGACAATTTTAAGCCAAGTAAATATTATGAGCACTACTTCCCAAGCCCAGAACATTACACATTCATTCATTCACAAGATATTTCTTGAGTGCCTGCTTTCTGTCAGGAATGGTTCTAGGCTCTATCCTGGAAACTATAAAATGGACATATGATAAATTTTTTAATTTCTTCATTTTTAATGTGTCACTGGCAATCTTTGCCTTGTAAAACAATCTCTTTTATTAGCATGAAAGTATTTTTGTAGAGAACTGCTTTGCTATCTTATTTATATGCAAAATTAGAGCTTTTGTGAGATCCTACACTCCTACTTCGTTTCTATTAGACTTGAGTTTTTTAAAATTATGATCTTTCATTGCAGCACAATTGAGTCCCAAGGCCTGCTTTTTCTATAGCAGTTTCAATTACAGCAAAAATTTTACTATCACAAAAAAGCATGCCAAAGTCCTGCTGCTGGCAGATCTAGAGGCAGTGTTCAGTTGACCCCTAAATGCCTTCTGCTGGCTGTGACCAGGAGCTTCAGGAGCTGGTAGATCTCCGCGGCAGGTTTTGCAGCTGTGGCCCCTCCCCCACTGTGATGGTTAATACTGAGTGTCAACTTGATTGGACTGAAGGATTTGAAGTATTGTTCCTGGGTGTGCCCGTGAGGATGCTGCCATGCAGATTAACATTTGAGTCAGTGGACTGCGAGCAGCAGACCCACCCTCCATCTGGGTAGACATCATCTAATCAGCTGCCAGCCAGGCTGGAATAAAGCAGGCAGGAGAAGACGGAAGAGCAGACCTGCTGAGTCTTCTGGCCGTAATCTTTCTCCCATGCTGGATGCTTCCTGCCCTCGAACACCAGACTCCAAGTTCTTCAGCTTTTGGAATCTTGGACTTACACCAGGGGTTTGCCAAGAGCTGTTCGGCCTTTGGCCACAGACTGAAGGCTGCACTGTTGGCTTCCCTACTTTTGAAGTGTTGGGATTCAGACCAATCCACCACAGGCTTCCTTGCTCTTCAGCTTGTAGACAGCCTATTGTGGGACCTTACCTTGTGATCACATAAGTCAGTTCTCCTTAATAAACTCCCTTGAATATATACATATATCCTATTAGTCCTGTTCCTCCCTAGGATCCTGACGAACACCCACCATCACAGTTTGCAGGTCCTCTTCCAGGAGAGATATTTGCTGTGACTACCATCCTCTACAACTTCTCTTCTAGTTTCTTCCTCAGGGTGATCCAAGACACCAGAGAGCCGAAAATTAGCTTCCTTTCCCTAAAAATAAAGGGAGGGGAATTGTTCTCAATTCTCCAAATACAGCTCAGTCTCCTTCACCGGGGAATCAGAATTTGAATAAATCATGCCCTAACCCAACTTCCCCATCACATTCCCTCCCTGAGGGAACTCTGGCCAACTGCTCAGCTTACTACCTCCCAAATGGGCCTTAAGCTTTCTAATCATTATTTCTTCATTCAAAATATCCTCCCCGTCTACAACATCCTTCAAAATTCTAACTTGCCTTTAAACCTAACTAAAACTTCATCCCCTCAAAACAGCTTTTCCTTGACTGATTTATACTGAAATCATCATACTTACCTTTTCACAAATTATAGCAATTTCACAGCTGAAATATGTGGAAGGTCTGAATTGGGGCAGTGGCAACAGGAATGCACATGTGAGAATAGACTCAAAATCCATAATGGTAGTCAAATGGCCAGGGCTTGGTGGATGTCGGCGGATGTCATTATGGATGCCTTTTGCCAGAAAATTGCTTGAAAGTGAGGCCAGCACCATGAAGGGAATATGAGCCTTTTCCCCTCCAATTTCTACCAGGTACAATATTTAGAAATGTGAGGCAGAAATGACCACTGGTCAAAATTCTGAAGATTTTTATATCTTCCCTAAGGAAGCAGAACATAAACATTTTCATAGCACAGAGATCTGTTGCTGACTCTAATTACAATAATCTCTCATTCTGAAATTACTTTTTTCCTCACTGGTTCTTTCATCACAGACGCCCAAGTTGAAATCAAAGATAACTGACGTCACCTCTAAAATTCTCATTGCTCGAAGTGTGTGAAACGGAGGATGTATGGTTCATGCCCCTTGAGCCACACATGTGTCTCAGTCTGTCTTGCCTGAAATAAATTTGCTACAGTCACTGTTTTTACAATATGCCAAAGATATATTACCAAAATAAGCTTGCTCCTCCACGGAGTAAGTGAGCCGAAGGCATTGTGTTCCATCTTTACAATGAAATGCAGATTTCTCATTGAAAGACTAATCTTCAGTTTCAAAAGATTGAACAAAATGGTGCTTAAGAAGAATTATAGCTGGTTAAATATAAGCTGCTAAAAACATCCAGGACAAGAATATTCCATGAGCACCAAAGCATTTTCATCTGCTTATGATTTAAACAAATTTCTTTCAGGGGAAGATCTTATCCCAGTATTTTCTTCTGAGATCAGCAAACAAAAATCAGGAAGTATACTGACCCAGAGCCTTCTTTACCTAAATCATCTTATTTATCTATAATTGTGTCACTAAGAGACTGCTTCATATTAGCATGATAGACCCCTCCTCTGGCCTGGACCTACTCACAGCAGAATGGAAGAGAGTCCCACAGAGCTCCCCAAGCTCCTGGTAGGTCATTCATGCTCACGTTTGCTCAGCATCTCCCCTCAGACCTCTACTCACTGGCAAATACTAGTCCAAGGTCTGCTCCAAACTTGTGACCCATTCCTTCCTTAGAAGACTTAGGACCCAGCTTCAGTGCCTTCATCCCTGTCACCTTCATAGCCCCATATAGTTTCCTCTGTCTGCCAATCTAACCCCATGTCATTTCCCTTCATTGCCCTCCCAACCCTTTTCTGGGTCCCCAGTAAGTCATGGTCTACAGGGAAATCTACAGGTCCCTGGGAAGTCACGCCTACAGGCCAGGTACTGTGGCTCATGCCCATAATCACAGCTTCTTGGGAGGCCAAGGAGGGTAGATCAGCTGAGGTCAGAAGTTCATGACCAACCTGGCCAACATGATGAAACCCTGTCTCTACTGAAAATACAAAAATTAGCTGGGCATGATGGCAGGTGCCTGTAATCCCAACCACTCAGGAGGCTGAGGTGGGAGAATCACTTGAACCAAGGAGACGGAGGTTGTAGGGAGCCAAGATTGCACCACTGCACTCCAGTCTGGGCAACTGAGCAAAACTCCATCTCAAAAAAAATAAATAAATAAACACCTAGAAACTCAATTTCTCTGAATACATCACCTTCTTACTCCAATGAAAATCTTCAGTAGATCCCAAAGCACAGTTTCCCCCACAGCTCCCCCTAGTCGCCACACTAGTTGTGCTTTTCCTCTGATAACATTTGTCCTAAAGGAGAGGTAGCTCCCCTCATTGCCTCTTCCAGATTAACACTCCTGCCTCCACCCTGTAAGCCCAGCCATACCACCTGATACTTTGCACTGTTACAAGAATCTATTTTCAAATCTGGTAGTTGCTTTCATTAAATGAAAGAATGTGTTCCTTGCTGTCTTCCTCATCACTTCTGTAACAATTGAGGATGGTTAAATAACCACACAAAATCTCACAAATTTTTGTTATTTTTGCTGAATTTATCCCATATCCTGCCTCAGCCACTTAATTTCCTGGTCATCCCATCTCTTCTCATTGCCAATAACTTCACCCCCTCTAAAATATTGGTTTCAATTGGCCTCTCTTTAATTACAACCTCTGAGGTTTCCAACTTGATTGTTGCTTTTACCACAATTCCAGTAACCTGAGGATACACAAATCTTGGACCTACCACCCTTTCTTTGACTGACCATCAGGTTCTTGCTTTCCTCCTTCCCCAATTTACACTTCATGGTTCATGTGTAACATCACCCCTCACGTGCACTCCCCAGTATACACTCCACAGTCCATCTCTAACATCACCCCTCACATACATTCCCCAGTTTACACTCCATGGTCCATGTGTAACATCACCCCTCACGTGCACTCCCCAGTTTACACTCCACGGTCCATCTCTAACATCACCCCTCACATACACTCCCCAGTTTACACTCCATGCTCCATCTGTAACATCACCCCTCACGTGCACTCCCCAGTTTACACTCCATGGTCCATCTCTAACATCACCCCTCATGTACACTCCCCAGTTTACACTCCATGGTCCATCTCTAACATCACCCCTCACATACACTCCCCAGTTTACACTCCATGGTCCATGTGTAACATCACCCCTCACGTGCACTCCCCAGTTTACACTCCATGGTCCATCTCTAACATCACCCCTCACATACACTCCCCAGTTTACACTCCATGCTCCATGTGTAACATCACCCCTCACGTACACTCCCCAGTTTACACTCCATGGTCCATCTCTAACATCACCCCTCACATACACTCCCCAGTTTACACTCCATGCTCCATGTGTAACATCACCCCTCACATACACTCCCCAGTTTACACTCCATGGTCCATGTGTAACATCACCCCTCATGTGCACTCCCCAGTTTACACTCCATGGTCCATCTGTAACATCACCCCTCATGTACACTCCCCAGTTTACACTCCATGGTCCATGTGTAACATCACCCCTCACATACACTCCCCAGTTTACACTCCATGGTCCATGTGTAACATCACCCCTCATGTGCACTCCCCAGTTTACACTCCATGGTCCATGTGTAACATCACCCCTCACATACATTCCCCAGTTTACACTCCATGGTCCATCTCTAACATCACCCCTCACATACACTCCCCAGTTTACACTCCATGGTCCATCTGTAACATCACCCCTCATGTACACTCCCCAGTTTACACTCCATGCTCCATCTGTAACATCACCCCTCACATACACTCCCCAGTTTACACTCCATGCTCCATCTGTAACATCACCCCTCACGTGCACTCCCCAGTTTACACTCCATGGTCCATGTGTAACATCACCCCTCATGTACACTCCCCAGTTTACACTCCATGGTCCATGTGTAACATCACCCCTCACATACATTCCCCAGTTTACACTCCATGGTCCATGTGTAACATCACCCCTCACGTGCACTCCCCAGTTTACACTCCATGGTCCATGTGTAACATCACCCCTCATGTACACTCCCCAGTTTACACTCCATGGTCCATGTGTAACATCACCCCTCACATACATTCCCCAGTTTACACTCCATGGTCCATGTGTAACATCACCCCTCACATACACTCCCCAGTTTACACTCCATGGTCCATGTGTAACATCACCCCTCATGTACACTCCCCAGTTTACACTCCATGGTCCATGTGTAACATCACCCCTCACATACATTCCCCAGTTTACACTCCATGGTCCATGTGTAACATCACCCCTCACGTGCACTCCCCAGTTTACACTCCATGGTCCATGTGTAACATCACCCCTCATGTACACTCCCCAGTTTACACTCCATGGTCCATCTGTAACATCACCCCTCACATACATTCCCCAGTTTACACTCCATGGTCCATGTGTAACATCACCCCTCACATACACTCCCCAGTTTACACTCCACAGTCCATCTCTAACATCACCCCTCACATACACTCCCCAGTTTACACTCCACAGTCCATCTCTAACATCACCCCTCACATACACTCCCCAGTTTACACTCCATGGTCCATCTGTAACATCACCCCTCACGTACACTCCCCAGTTTACACTCCATGGTCCATGTGTAACATCACCCCTCATGTGCACTCCCCAGTTTACACTCCATGGTCCATCTCTAACACCAGCCCTCACGTACACTCTCAGCTCTCATCTGTTCACCTTGCCCCTTGTGTACTCAGCCAACAAAACCGCAATCCCAGTGAATTCAGCTTTCTTCCTACTCCACGCCTACACTCAAGCCAATACTGAGGGCCAGAGGAAATCCCACAATTCTCTGGACTAAACACACTTTAAAATCATGACCACAAACCTTAACAACATCTTCAACCTTCACCGGAAATTCTGGCGTACTGTCCTTGCCAGTTCATTCTCTTGCCCTCAGACAAGTCTCTCTCTCACACTCTAACTCTTCTTCACTGGAAACTTCAACATGGCCTACACATTGGTCTCTCAAGCACATCATTTCTTATTTTACTAAGAAAGAAAGAACATCCCAAAGACAACTTTCTTATCCTGCAACCAAACCTGGCATCATCTCTGCTGCTGTGCCTGCACCTTGCCTGCCCTCCTATAACAGGGCTTGAACTGTCTATCCTCCTTTCTAAAGCCAGCTCCTCCATCTGTCCCCTCTTGCCTACATAAGGACTTCTGCACAGCAATTGTCTTCATTCTCCCCTGGCTTACTACCAGATTACACTTACCAGCAAACATGTTGTAATGATTTCCTTTTGAAAAAAAACAACCCTCCCTGGCCTCACATCTTCCTTTTCCAATTAACTCCACTATCCATTTCTTGGCTTCCATTCTTGGTAAAACTACTCAAAACATTGCCATGCTCTCTGCCTCCACTTCTTCACTTCTCATTCTTTCTTGAACCCCTTCTACTCAGGTTAATATCCCCCCATTTCACTAAGACTGTTTTCTCAAGATTGTTAATGACCTCTGTGTTTCCAAACTTAATAATCTTTTCTTACTCTTTGTCTAATTGGACTTCCCGGTATCACTTGATAATTTAATAATATCATCATTTGATAAATCCCTGTTTTGGGAATGTTTTTCTCAGACTGTAGAACATCATGTGTCTGGTTTTCTTCTTACCTCACTGTTACTTTCCAATCTCATTTACTGGATTTCTCACTCCCACTTGAGGCTCAGCCCTCAGCTATCTTCTCTATCAGCACTCATATCCCTTAAGTAATCTTACATCTTCCCTTGCTTTCCATATCATCTGTGTACAGATGATCCCAAATTTATATCTCCATCCCCTGACTTCTCCCATAAACTCCATATATATCCAACTCCCTGTGTGACATCTTCACTTAGATGTCTACCAGGAATCTCTGCAGGTGGACTTCAAAACATACTAAGAATCCCTGCCATGAAGACAAAGAACCATGCGAAGTTTCAATATCAATAGTAATCAGATCACGGCAAGCAAAAAACACAATGTGATTTTTTCCATCACCTCATTATTACGAATTATATTGCTAGGAATATTCATAAACGTGTCTTGGGGACACATTGCACACAGTTTTGTTATTCAACTTGAGATGATGACAAACTTTTCCAAAGTAAATACATATTCTCAGCTGTTTTTGCAATTTTTTATTTTTAACATCACTCTTACCAGCCATTTTAAGTTTTGTCATTCTGCTGTGTGTGTGGTGTTATTACCTCATGCTTTTAATGTGTATTTTCTTGATTCCTGGCAAAGCTGAACTCCTTTTCATTATTGACCAAGCAAACTGAACTATGAGATTTAAGGATGCAACTTAGGTACCTAACTATAAAGAAAGCCAAGGAAGCCGGGCGCGGAGGCTCACGCCTGTAATGCCAGCACTGTGGGAGGCTGAGGCAGATGGATCACGAGATCAGGAGATCGAGACCATCCTGGCCAACATGGTGAAACCCCGTCTCTACTAAAAATACAAAAATTGGCTGGGCATGGTGGCACATGCCCGTAATCCCAACACTTTGGGAAGCCGAGGCAGATGGATCACGAGATCAGGAGATCGAGACCATCCTGGCCAACATGGTGAAACCCCGTCTCTACTAAAAATACAAAAATTGGCTGGGGATGGTGGCACATGCCCGTAATCCCAACACTTTGAGAAGCCAAGGCAGATGGATCACGAGATCAGGAGATCGAGACCATCCTGGCCAACATGGTGAAACCCCGTCTCTACTAAAAATACAAAAATTGGCTGGGCATGGTGGCGCATGCCCGTAATCCCAGCTACTCGGGAGGCTGAGGCAGGTGAATTGCTTGAACCAGGGAGTCAGAGGTTGCAGTGTGTCAAGATTGTGCCACTGCACTCCAGCCTGGTGACAGAGTGAGACACCATCTCAAAATAAAAATAAAAAAGAAAGCCATGGAAGTAATGGCCATAAAAATCAGGGGAGTAGTTACCCTCAAGGGGCAAGGAAGGTAAAATCACTGGAAGAGGACGCGCAGAGAATAAGGGGCTTTCTGAGTGCTGGTGACTGTATTTTTTTGCTCTATGTAGTAGACACACATATATTCACTTTGTGATAAAACACTGGGCTGTAAAGTCTTGTTTTGTGCAATTTTCTACATTTATCTCACAGTAAAAAAAAAAATAGAAGGTTAAGTGAAGCAACCAAATATTATTTGAGTACTTACTACATGCTGGGCCATATGACAAATACCAGGGATCCCAAGATTAATGAGGAAGGTTGTTTCCCTCAAGGTCACCATGAATCACACGATTAATTGGTGGCAGCGAGAATTGCACCTGGAGCACTGAGAACCTGTGAAAGATGTCACGAAAGAGGGGGGATTTGTTACAGGCCTCAAAATGTGAGTAATATTGGATAAGCAAAGAAAAGAAGGGATATGATGGCCATCTTTAGATTTATGACCAGGGCAACCCCCAGTCTACACACACATTGACATTGACACTCAGATGCCCACAATCACACACACACTCATGGTATGCATCTGCTGGAACTGCCGTAACAAAGTACCACAGTTGAGTTGGCTTCAACAACAGAAATGTGCTGTCCCACACAGTTCTGGAGGCCAGAAGGCAGAAGTCAAGGTGTCGGCGAGGTTGATTCCCTAAAGGCTGTGAGGGAAGGATCTGTTCCCAACCTCTCTGCATGGCTTGTAGATGGCCATCTTCTACCAGTGTCTCTTCACAACCTCTTCCCTCTCTGAGTGGCTCTGTGTCCAAATTTCCCCTTTTATAAAGACAGCAGCTAATGGGATTACAGCCCACCCTAATGTCGCCTTTGAACTTGATTATCTCTACAAAGACCTCTCTCCAAATAAGGTTGAATTCTAAGGTATTAGGGGCTGCATTTTCAACATAGGAGTTTTAGGGGGACACAATTTTATCCATAACACTCAACATATATATGTTCAAATGTACACACATCCATGTACTCCCATATACAGTCACACATACATACATTCACACACACATACACATGCACACATCTACATATACACACACACAATCTCACGATACATGTACACACACACCCCTTTACCTTTTCTCACTCATATTGACACCCTCACAGCAGGCAGGCATGTGGAGTGTCCCACATCTGCAAGGGAGTTGCTCCTTCCCCCATGCTGCCGCCGCCCACAGCACCCTGTCTCCTTGATGGGAATGTGACCCAAGCCAAGGAAAACAGAGTCCCTCACCAACCATGCACCAAACTGGGAATAAGGGAAGACTGCTCCCTGCTGTCTGGTGGCAAATTTGGAAAGATAGAAACCCAGTTGCTACTGGAAACACTGTTCCACTGTGGTAGGCCAAGACCTGTCTGCTGGACAATGAAGAAGAACCACAGGAGAAGAGAAAGTGAATCTTGATGCCCATATCCCTTGGCCCCAGCCATCCACGGGCCAGCTGCACCCTGACACGCTCATAGTACAGTAACTTCCCTTCCCTGCTCAAGTTAGTTGGGTGTGGGTTTCCATTACCTGTAATTCAAAGAGGCCAGGGCTTTCCAAGGGAAGTCGAGGAGGTCTGAAGAGATCATGAAGATAGAGGGTGAGGGATCAAACTGAACTCGTCACCACGTCTGACGGCAAACCTTCTCTTGTCTTTGATTCCATTTTGTTTCCTTGTTGCAGTTGTGTTCCGTTCTCCAACCACACTGCTTTCTTTCAGTACTTCCCCAACCTCTCTACCCGCTGCAAACTTTAAAATCCTCCCCCGTCTCTACTAAAAATACAAAAAAATTAGTTGGGCACGGTGACGCGTGCCTGTAATCCCAGCTACTCAGGAGGCTGAGGCAGGAGAATTGCCTGAACCCAGGAGGCGGAGGTTGCGGTGAGCCGAGATCGCGCCGTTGCACTCCAGCCTGGGTAACAAGAGCGAAACTCCGTCTCAAAAAAAAAAAAAAATCCTCCCTGCTCCTTACAGATCTCTGCTTATATGTTAGTCCATCCAAAACACTTCCTGACCACCCTAGGAAAGGCAGTTTACACTCCTGTTACCTTCCAATCAGAACTTTAATTGCTTTCTTCACAGTGCTTTATCACAGTTGGCAATTATGCTATTTGTATGCTATTTACTTGGGTTTATCTCTCATCCTCATTCTTCTCTAAGCCCCCTAAGGACAGAAACTGGGTGCGTATATTCCCCATCTTATCCCCCCAGGCCCAGCACTCAGTGTGGCACGGATGGCTGATGCAAGAAGGTCAGAAAGGGCAGAGACAAGGAAGGAGGCTGATGAGGTCTCCAACTCACAGTAACTTCCCAGTTGTGCTCTCTAAAATCCGGGCATTCTGAGAAGACTGTTTCACTGGCAGTTTCCACCTGGACTTGTGTGCCTCTTGCTCTTTGAATGCTGTGCTGTTTTACCTCCTGGGTGATTCTTCTCTGTTAGTCTCCCAGGCCGCGCACCCACAGGAACGCCCCTGCTGCGTGACCTCTTGCTTTAACAGTGGGGCACCTGTGACTTTTAGTTTTAGCGTGATCACAGGTGTCGTGTATTACCTTGTTTTGGTTTTAGCCAATGAAAAAAACATGTTGAGGATTCTTAAGTGACTATTACAAATCTTAATACTCCCCCACCTACATTTTTGTAGTTTCTTTACCCCAAAGTCTTTCTTCAGAAGGTATGCCATGGGCAATGCTGGATTTCTTGGGACAGAGTAGTGAAGAGCAGTGTCATACTCAAAATCTAGCACCAGGACTTGCAGGCAACTTTCTGTCTGGAGAGCCTTCCTTGGGGCCAAGGGTACAGGAGTAATTTAAAGTCTCTATTCGCAAACCTCTATTTGAAAAAAAAAAAAAAAAAAAACTGTTATTTGTTGGCTTGTTTTCATTTTTAAGTATTTTTTTAGTTTTTTGAGACAGGGTCTCACTCTTGTCACCCAGGCTTGAATGCAGTGGTGCAACCACAGCTCACTGCAGCCTCAACCTCCCAGCTCAAGCGACCCTTCCACCTCAGCCTCCTGAGTAGCTGGGATTACAGATGCTGGCCACCACACCTGAATAATTTTTGTATTTTTCATAGAGACCGGGTCTCACTATGTTGTCTAGACTGGTCTCCAACTTCAGGGTTCCAGTGATCTGCCCACCTTGGCCTCCCAAATTGCTGAGATTACCACCACACCCAGCCAGAAAAAAAAAAAGCCTTCTCAAAGTAAACCACTTGAAAGAAATGATTATGGTTTATTAACATTCCAGAGTCTCAGATACCAAAGCCTTCATTTACCACAAGGACTAGTCCGGGGGGAATAAAAAATGGCTTACTGTGATGTTTTTAAGGTGTCTGAAAACCACATTCCCTCTTCCCTTTCCTTTCAGATACTCAATCTCTAGGAAACCCAATTGACAAGTTTCTGGCAATTCAACACCATGTAGTATTGCACGTCAGAAATCGGTATGGAATGTTACACTCACTTTTCCTGTAACTTCTTACAGCCTTTAAATTGCCATCTCTCTAACTACATTTCTTCAAACAATATTGCCGTTTGAGTGGTATCAATCAGACAGGATTGCCCTTTGGTGTCAAAACTCTCAGTCAGCCACGTGAATAAATTCTGATTACTTCTGTATTCTGAAAAGAAAATGTATTTTTTCAGATCACAGTCATGAGCTGTGAGTGAACCTTTAATAAAAACTAACATTGACTTCTCATCTGCAGGTGTCTGGCGCTCAGTTTAGTGTCTTTTGAGAGCAGAACCACCCTAGGCCCAGCTCCTTTTTAACCGTGGCCTTAACACTCCACTGCTTTGCCTAATTCCTAATTCTAAGCAACTCCCATGGCCTAGTTTGTTTTGTTGATTAAAAAAATGTGCTAGTTTAAACTTCACATTTCAGGTTTGATCGCTGTGGGACAAACTGGCTCATAAATCTTCCCTCGGCTACCAGTAACCAGGGAGAAGTCGCTTTCTTCAGTAAACATCCCCTGCTTCTCAGTAATAGGGTGCCTTCCATCACCCAGAGGTTTTTTCCTTTTAATTGAGTGTTTGTTGAAGCATGACTCTGAGATAGGAGGCCTATTCAGGAATAGAAATTGCAGCCCAAAGTGCCCATTACTTACCTGAGACAGGGCCCGAGACCAGCTGCACCTTGCAGAACCTGGACGCTGGGACGTGTGGATTCAGGCTGCTGGGCCGATTAGCGACATTGCCAAAAACGACGGGGATGCAGGGAGATCAGGGGAGCCTAGGTCTTGATATTCTCTCCACCACCCGCAAAGCTGAGGGATAAAAATAATAATAAAGTAGGCACTCCATCTCCACTCCCTCCTCCCCACCGAAAAAACACCTCTCCCCAAATGAAAAATTCAACTTCTCTGCACACCAGAAACACACCTCTTTTTTCCCCCTATTTTTTCTAATTTTCTTCTCTAGCAGTCAGAAGTCTGCTTCCAAAGCTTCCCCTACATTTCCGATTTGAAAGAAGAGAGCTAATGTCTTTTCAATCTCCATTTTGAGCCAGACATTATATTAGCTGCTTCAGTATATCATTTCCTTAATTCTTCCAACAAGGCAATTCACTCGGTCCGTGTGTCATGAACAGCTACTGGGAAGACCTTTGCTCTGCCTTAGCTCTCCCAGTCCTGATCTCATGGGCCCCATTTTTCCTAGCCCAGAGTTCTTCTTACACATCAATATGGATGAGGTTTTACTTTGAACTGTTCATTCCTCCAAGAATGACAGATGTCGGATTAAACTGCAAAACTCCCCAACTTTGCATTCACTGCATTCACCTCCAATCAATAAACGCGTTCTGGTGCTTCCCAGCAGGAAGACAGTCTTCATTATGGCCCTCCTTGGCAATGTGGGGAACTGCTCCTCCCAGCCCCTCAGAGCTTACACTATTTTGCACAGACCCTTCTCACCCCTGATGTGAAGCACTATAGTGTCTGCAAATGTGATTTATTTGAATTCTAGCAGAAACATTTGTGGTACGTCTGGGTGGTCCTCTGTCTTGAGCTGAACCTCTCAGTGCTACAGAAATGGGTTATTACTGATACCTGGGAATCGCTACAGCTTCTTTCTTGGCTGGGATAAATTACAGTGTGACCTCTCTGCGGTATCCAGTACATGGCGAGCCCTTTGCCTTCAGACAAAATGGCGCCCACATCACAAATCTCTGTCCTGCAGAAATACTTGAAGGCTGTTCTCCCATCTATTCTCTATCATAAACAAGCCTCTGTTTTGATCCTTCTCCTCATTGCCCTGCTCCTGTACACGCCCCTTCTCTGTTGCTTGGCTCCCATTACCCACCCCTAACTGAAAGTCCCTCTGCTTCCTTACTATGAGCGATCTATTCTTCAATAAATAGCTTAAAACCCTCCACAGAAGGGGACTGACTGCTGAGCTGGGTTTTCAGAAACGAACAGAGTGAGCTGGAGAACAGAATGTGCAGAGTTACCGCAGGCAGGAGAAATGTGTGCACAGGAACAAAACACATTGTATCAATATTTGGCAACACTCTTATCAGGGATTGTCTGTGAAAAGCAGACACCAACTCTAAGAAGCTCAAGTAAAAAAGGAAGGTTACTGTTAGTATTGAAGGGAATAGTAAGGAAACTAATTTGAGGTAGTAAGACCAAGGACTAGTACCACACAAACTCCCATGTCCATTTCAACCTAAACGTCTGAAGGGAATAGTAAGGAAACTAATTTGAGGTAGTAAGACCAAGGACTAGTACCACACAAACTCCCATGTCCATTTCAACCTAAACGTCTGCCCCATTCTCCTTTCTGGTAATCCATTTCCTCTACCTGCCTATTCTCATAACTGTGACATTTATGGATTGGGCTACTTGGAAGTAGAATTAGCCCTATTTTCACAGCCTTAACACTGCTACCCCTCCTGGTTCAAACTATATAGAGGAAGGTCATACGATTGGGTCAGCTTGGGTCAGGTGATCACTTCTGGTCCAATCAGCTGTGGCCAGAATGGTCCACCATGAGCATGGCTGTTTGCACCTGTCTCTTCAGCAGCTCCTGTGGTTGGAAGGCATCTCCCAAGGGAAAAAGCAGGCTGAGCAGGTAAATTATGTCTGGACAAGAGAACTTTCAGCAGCTCAGTATTTCTGAAACTTAAAGAACAAGGCAAAGAATGGTGGAAATGAAATCTTGTTCTTTGCTGGCTTATGAGTGCCCCTAGACATGGCTCTATAAATTGTTAGTTGAGTCATTTTAAGATATATTTTTATGTACTTTCAACCTTTGTTTAAGATTAGATTTTACTAATCTTTTTCTCCCATTACTTAAAAACAGTTTTAACTGTTGGTATCTTCGATGAGAGAGAAATACCTTAATCAAGCCTTTCTCCTCAAGCAGTTCCCCGTGACTCTAGCAAGTCCTCCTTCCCTATTCAAGATTGTTACTTTCTATGCCAAATACCTAAAAATTCCCCTGCAGTCTTTCCTTTTTTATCATGGATTCTGGCATTGGTTTATATAGTATGTATTTGTTTTCCAAACTATATTATAAGCTTTTGAACATAAAAGCCTGCTATTTCTATATTCCTGCTTCTATATTTCCTTGACCATCATATATATGCATGGGGGATTATCTGGATATCTATTATGATGGACTTCAGTTCTATATTACAATGTAATAAGTAATCTCTTATGACATGTATTGGTCATGACTCTTTTGGTCACAAATAGCAGAAATCAACCTAAACTAGCTGAGGTGACAAATGGGAATGTATTGGAAAGACATTAGGTACCATCCCATCTAAACCATGGGAAGGGCAGAGAGATACGTGGACAAAAGGATATTCAGAGACTTAAAAGGAAAATCTGTCTCTCTTCCTGCTTCCATTTCTCTTCCTTTCTGTCTTCCTCCTTCCTTCCCATCTCCTTTTTTCATCTTTGCTTTTTCTCACTTTTAGACTGGTTCTCTTGATGGTTGCCTAAGTTTAACATCTTACATTTTCCACTTCTCAAGAGAAATTGACTGTCTTTCTTGGTTTGAATTCTAAAATTCTATTTGGTTGGCCCAAAATCACATTCAGATTCAGGGTGAGCCACCCCTGAATTAACAAAGTATTTGTTAAAATGGGGTCGAGACATGGACTCTAAAACCATGGCTTTCCCTGCTGAATCTACATGAATGGAGAAAAGCAGTTCCCAGAATAAAAGGTGTTTGAGTCAGGGTAATACTAATTACTGCAAATTGATAAACGCCTAGCTCTCTGTGGCTTAACGTGTCAAAGTTTATTTTTCACTCATGGCACAGTCCTGATCAGGTGGCTCCTCTCCACATGATGCCCAGGAGGAAGAGAAAGGTTTTGGTGGACACGTACAGTGTCTGTCATAGAGGCATGCTGTCCCGTAATGAAGAGAATGAAGAAAAGGGAGTTCTTGGTCTCCCAAACAATAGATGTCCATTATGCCAGACATAATACATCAGCTCATAACACATTCACTGGGAACAATCATGAAAAGAATGATACAGACAGACAAAAAAGTAGCAGATATAAAAATGTATTTGTATCCATAATACAAAACAAAGTTGAACATGAAATTATAAAGAACCTCAAAAACATGCTAATAACTCAGGAATCGTGGGGTCTTAGAAACTGTTTCTTTGCATTTCATTCTTTCAGAGGAACCATCCTAAGTGCTGTCCTTGTTTCATGAGATTTTGGTCTAATAAATCTTCCCCCATGACCCCAGAGAATGATAAAATTGTTTTATTTGGAGGCATGTTCTCTCCAAAGGCTTTTTTATTTAGTGCCGGAGATTACAGTACACTAACACAGTCAAAGCCGGAATCAAGAACTTTGTTCCAATTGCTTGATCCCAGGCTTAAATACGGCTCCTCATAGGATCTTTATTTGCCACAACGAGAATGCAGCTGGTTCCTTCCATTTTCCAAGCTTACCCTCATCATTTCAATTACACAGGCTCTTGGAACAAAGCATACTGCTATCATGATCAGTCTCCTTTAGTTATCGCCAGGTCAAATAGATGCCTCTGATTCCCACTTGCGGGTTTGGATTCTGTGATGCCTTTACGCCCTGTTCTCACTCATCCTCCTCCTTTTCTTCTCCTTCTCTTTCTCCTACAGAAGAGCAAACAGCTGTACCCTTTCCTCATGTTACTGGTGAGAATCCACTCCATACCCCAGCCAGGCAGGTTCCTCTGGCTGCCTTTATCATCTTTCTTATTGTAAACATTACAGCAAAGTAATAGTTAAGAGGGAATAAGTAAACAAGGTAATTATAGAGGAAGCTAAAAGTTGTAGGACAGAGAGAAAATCTACCTACGATAGGACCAACGGAGTTCTCAAGACTGATGAATAGACACAAACATTTGCAATTTAGAAAAAAAAATTCACATCAAACCCTTAAGCTCATGAAACCATCCCAAGTCACTGCCTCTAAATCATGGTTCACTGCTAGGACTCAAACTCTGAGCCCAACCTGAAATAGGGCATAAGTGTTAAGCAGAGTCCCTCCTAGAATCCTCTACATTTTCACAATGCCTTTATAAAAGTACCTGCCAGATATATCATCCACTGGCCTCTCCTCAATTGGAAACACTGAAGCACGGGAAACATGGAGTGAACCACCCGCCACATGACAGAGTTCAGGGAATAAAATTTGGGATTTCATCCCTGGGTGCCTGCCTTAGCATACAGCCATTCTGCTGCACATGTTTTTCATAATGTACCTCCGAGGGTTTGAATTATTGCTGGTTTTTGCTTTTTTAGGTGGATGGGGAGAATTCAGGTGGAGAATACTAGTAAAATGCAAGACGTTAAAGCATTATTGGTATAACAAATAGAGAATGTTTTGTTCCAGTCGAAAGACCTCCAATATTTCATCCCAAAGTCATCTTCTGGGAAAACCAAAATGTAAGGAGGCTGACACATACTGAATAAGATTTAGTAGGCACATTTCCAGGGTATACACAGAGCCTGAGTTTCGCTGATTTTACACTTCCTCTTTAACCTTAGGTCCACCTGGGCAAATATCTACAGTTTCTCATGCTAGTGAACTTTCAGGGCAATGTAGTCAGTAGAGCACAACATTTTTATTATACATTAGTTTCTCTTTTCAGATACTTATATTCACAAGGCATACTCCCTGATCACAGTCAACTTTCTCTTTCAAAATCACATGATGCAAAAAAAAGTTTCCAAGATAGTTTCCCCATACGAAATAAAACCTGAAGAAAAATGTCCAGATATTAATAATGATTGCTATGTGAAGGTTATTATTGTGAGC